ACACAGCTGATCACATGATGTGGTAAAAGGCCAATCACAGCGGCCTTTTACCACCTGATCAGCGGTGTCCAATGACACGCTGATCAGAGGGAAATGCAAGTGCCGGTTCTCGGCTGCACTTTCCTCACGCTGTCAGATCGTGAGGAAAGTACTGCCGAGAACCGGCAGTTGTCAGAGCGGGGATCGGCACCGATCATCAGGGCTCTGATGATCAGTGCCCTGATGATCGGTGCCCAGCAGTGCCACCCGCAAGTTCCGCCCAGCAGTGCGCCCACTAGCTCCGCCCACCCATGTCCAGCGGTGCACCCACCTGTGCCCAGCAGTGCACCCACCTGTGCCACTCTGCAGTGCCACCTACCTGTGCCCAGAAGTGCCACCTACCTGTGCCCAGCAGTGCCACCCACCTGTGCCCACCCACCTGTGCCCACCAGTGCCACCCACCTGTGCCCACCCACCAGTGCCGTCCACCAGTGCCACCCACCAGTGCAGCCCAGCAGTGCTGCCAGTCAGTGCCACCAGTCAGTGCCCAGGGGTTGTGCCAGTCAGTGCCGCCAGTCAGTGCCCAGCAGTCATGCCAGTCAGTGCCGTATATCAGTACCCATAATCAGTGTCACCTATCAGTGCCGCCTATCAGTGCTGCATATTAGTGCCGCCTATCCGTGACCCCTAATTAGTGCTGTCTATCAGTGCCGCCTATCCGTGCCACCTCATTAGTACTGCCTATCAGTGCCCTTTAGTGCTGCCTATCAGTGCCCATCAGTGCTGCCTCATCAACGCACATCAGTGAAGGAGAAAAAATACCTGTTTGAAAAATTTTATAAAAGAAACAAAGAAACTTTTTTTTTTTTTCACATTTTTTGCATTTTTTTATTTATAGCGCAAAAAGTAAAGCGCCCAGTGGCGATTAAATACCACCAAAAGAAAGCTCTATTTGTGAGAAAAAAATGATCAAAATTTCATATGGGTACAATGTTGCATGACCGCGCAATTGTCAATCAAAGTGCGGCAGCGCTGAAAGCTGAAAATTGGCCTGGTAAATAAGGGGGTATAAGTGCCTGGTAGGCAAGTGGTTAATAAATCACAGACCTGACTGGAGAGGAGGATTCTGGGAGGTCACATGACACCACTCTCATCTCTATTAATAAAATACACACCTAACCGGAGAGGTGAAGAGCATTCTGGGAGGTCACATGACATCACTCTCATCTTTGTTATTAAAACACAGACCTGACGAGAGGTGAGGAGGATTCTGGGAGGTCACATGACATCACTGTCATCTCTACTAATAAAACACAGACCTGACTGGAGAGGTGAGGAGGATCCTCGGTGGTCACATGACATCACTCTTTATTCATAAAATACAGACCTGACTGAGAAGTGAGGAGGATTCTGGGAGGGAGAAATGTCACCAACACACCAAATTTCTCCAATATGGGTCCAAAGCTTTAATAAGCGATCACATAGTTACAGCAAGAGCAACGTTTCAGAATCTCACAGGACCCCTTCACCAGGTCACATGCCTGATGAAGGGATCCTGCAAGACTCTGAAACATTGCTCTTGCTGTAACTATGTGATCACTAATTAAAGCCTTGGACCCATATTAGAGAACTTTGGTGTGCTGGTGACATTTCTCCCTTGTGATTCTTCTCAGTTCCAGCCGATGGTCACAACAGCACCCACCTACACGTTTAGCTCTTTGATGCAGGAACGTGTCCGTTGGGGTTTTGGAATTGTGCTTGAGGATTCTGGGAGGTCACATGACATTGCTCTTATCTCTGATAAAACACAGAGCTGACCAGAGAGGATAGGAGGATTCTGGGAGGATCACATGTTATCACCTATAACTGACAGCACTGTTTTAGGTCTGCAGTTTGATTTGATTGTACATTTTTCTTTTCCTACATAGGACTACACAGTCGTGAAAAAATCATCATCTAGTGGTCATTCGACACCCAATAACCACACCTGTATGTCCAACCATCTCAACAGGACCCAAAACCTCATCATGGAACCTCCACCTGTCTCCCCAACACTTGAGAGCAATGAGAAGAAGATCCTAGAAGTCACCCAGAAGATCATTGACCTGCTGACGGGAGAGGTGAGCGGTGCCGGGAATTCTGGGACATTCTCCAGTAACAGCCAAGGGATGTGTCTGGATGGTGACTGTATCATTGTGTGTGTCAGGTTCCTATAAGGTGTCAGGATGTCACTGTCTATTTCTCCATGGAGGAGTGGGAGTATATAGAAGGACACAAGGATCTCTACAAGGACGTCATGATGGAGAACCGGCTGCCCCTCACATCACCGGGTAAGAGGAGATTTTCATTTCATGTAATGGAGAGAAGAGTATTGAGGATCCACCTAGATACACACATCCTCTGATATAAAGACATAGAAACAATGTATTCAGTCAGTGTGTGTGTTTTTCCTACAGATGGATCCAGTAATGGGAACCCACCAGAGAGATGTCCCCGTCCTCTGTATTCCCGGGACTCCACACAGGAACATCAGGAGATCCCTCAGGAGGATCAGGTAGATGGACCTCTACTAAGTAACATTACCCAGCCATATACTTTACAAATGCAACCTGTTCCCGCAGCTGTGTTGTTCTGGTAAGAAAGCCTGAGACCAGGTATGAAACCATGCTGTCCACCATTTGGCCAGAAGATCCTTAGGTACTTCCAAGAGACTCAGTGGGTCAATTACATGAGCAGGTTATGGAAAACTCCAAATACCTCAATCTATGAACTCTTTTCATGAAAGAGAATGTTGAATTTCTTGCAGTTTCCATAAACGGCTGACTGCAAACTGTTCATGTGTTGCTATTTAGTAGGTTTTAAAACCACTTTTACGAGCCTGGAATTTTATTTTTTAGTTGATCTTCTTGAAATGGTTTGTACCCTGTCTAGGAGGATGGCTTGATTGTTATTAAAGTTGAAGCTGTTGATGAAGACGACTCAACAGTGACTCACGGAGATGTTAGCAATGAAGAGGATGAAGACAGACCCATGAAGGTTGAAGAGAAGGAAATTCCTCCACAGATCAAAACAGGTGAGGAATAAACACTAAATCCAGGGAAGAGTCCCAGATCCTCCTTGTTCAGTCACTACAACAATCTCTTCTTCTCTCCCCCTCCTCTGTCAGTAGACAGTAATGGGGGGGGGGGGGGGGGGCAGTATGTGCCCAGTGGGTGAGTCAGGAGCCATCAGCCTCTATTAGGCTCCAGCTATGAGCCATGTAAGGAGGAGGATGAGATACCTCCAGAGATCAGCCCAGGTGAGGAATAAACACTAAATCCAGAGAAGAGTCCCAGATCCTCCTTGTTCAATCACTACAACAATCTCTTCTTCTCCCCCCTCCTCTGTCAGTAGACAGTAATGGGGGGACAGTATGTGCCCAGTGGGGGAGTCAGGAGCCACCAGCCTCTATTAGGTTCAGCTCCTCACAACATAGCGGCCTTCTGCGTCCCCACTGGGGATAGTCTGCTTACTTCCTGTCTTTGTGACCCAACAGGAAGTAAAAAAGAAAACATAAGATTCCTTTCCATACGCACAAAAAATAAACTTTTTCTAAGCTCGTCTGCATTAAACAAGTAGGTGCTACGCCCAGAGATAATCCCCACGGAAGTTGAATGTTGGTGCTCTGGCTCTGTGTGTCTTCCCTGCAGAATGAAATGAAAACGAGAAGCGCACCAACCTTGCGCATTACCTCAGTAACCAAAATGTATTAATTGTAAAAAATATACTCACAAACAGCGAATAAAATCAGGCATGTAAGTCCTCACAGAGACTTGAAGATAACATGAGTCCCATCAGGGGAGTGGGTGTTCAGTACAGTTGACGCGTTTCGAAGGGGGTCCCTTCTTCCTCAGAGCTAACTGAACTGTGAGTGCTCTCTCCTATATATACTCCTGGACTGAACCTAGGCCCTCCCCACTGGGTTGGGCAGTCTCAGGTTAGTAGGAGGGGCCAAGATATCGTCAACAGACAATCACTATTTGTAATTCCATCAGAGAGAAATGATATAGACAAACGTAAAATATAAAATATATAAAACCACATTTTGCATACACCACTTAGTATGCATGTAATATATCAACTTAGCGATGACACCAATGGAAATGATGATGATAGATAATACATGATGAAACATAATATATAGTAAATACTTAGTCTTATTCCATGATTCATTAGTGAGCGATGTATCAAGTGGACAATTCATCCAGAGGGCTTGTCATGATGCTGGATGAGTGTATATCAAATAATGTAAAATAGACTTAAGTTGTTAGTCAATGGATGTCTTAATGGATAGGTGTCCATAGTGACACAAACACATGTATATATATATGTAGACATATAAACCCACACACAAACCTTCAACCAGAAGCTGTGTGATGTGTGCTACCAGGCAGCTGCATGTGCTTCATGATCGGATGATGGAGAATCCATGTCTCTGATGGATAGGATTGGATCAGTAATCTTGGATCCGTAATATTGTGTAGTCAGCAGCAGAGGGAGATCTTATGCTTCCCTCTATAGCTGCAGGCTGCGCATGCGTGGACTAACATGCACATGCGCAGTATGAGGAGGACAGGTCCGTCGGCGTGATCACGTGAGCGCGCATCACGCGCATCTGACGGCCACTCTGTGCGCGTACACCGACACCGCTCTATTGGGCAAGATACCAGACCTGCCACCCCGCCCCCATCCTCTGACGAGGCTCTAGTTGGGGGAACTGTCTGAGGCAATTACAAAGGACTTAGATAGTGGGAGGAGATACCAAGAGCTCTGCAGAAGAGAAAGTTTTTGGATCTTTACATTGGGTACCTTGTCTCCTAGAGGTTTAAACGATGACCTTGAGATTCATACTCTCATCTAGCCACTAGGTAGTGCAAATACAATTAGTTCATCTCTACTTTTTTTCACACTATTTTCATTCTGCGATTTATTATATTAATCATATCTACTAATACATATACTGCTGGTATCAGTAATGTGTTGAGTGTAAGGAATGTGGTCACCTATTACTAGCCCTGACAATAATAATCTCTCATCCTACTATACCATACTACAAGTATACATATGGTCCCTTCAGTAGTTTGGTGCAAACTAGTGACTCCCTAAGACTGTTAACATACTGCAAGCCCACGGTTCATCGATCTTTTTAAATGTATAGATATGAAGTCTATCATATCTTTATATATTTTGTTGTATATATATTATTCTATATGGTTACACCTAATATATACATCTTCCACACAGGGTCTCGATACATATGCTGTTATTACTATTCACCCTATTAAGAAACAAAACCAAAAACCAAATATAATAGATTGCTTTAGGTTTGAGGTGTAAGTGATGGCCTTGTATGCTGGATCATAGTATCCTAATATTAGACTTTTTCACTATCAGTAGTATTATCATTGGATCATTTTAATGTCTTTTATCAGTACTAGGGTGCTTAAGCGCCTAATATCGTGGTTTTTACCTCTATATCTAATGTGCAATTATGTGTATAGAGTCTTAGTTGTTTTATATCTTATATCATATTATTATTTTATCTTATTGTATTTATCATTATATATTTATATATGTCCTATACATGATGCATGGATGGCGTTCATGTGAACACATACCTATATGTCTCATATTTTATACCCACCGGCAACACTACTGTCATATCCACCAGGAGATACATGGTACAAGGCTATTCACAAAAGCCTTGTACCATGTGACAAGCTGTGACCAATCACAGCTCACTCAGTTCTTCTCAATGAGTGCAAGAATGCACACAGAGAGAAAGAGAAATGATTGCTTTTACATCCTATATGGGTGTAAAAGCAATCAGTGTAAAAAAAAAAAAAAAAAAAATCTTCATCACCCCTCACACAAGTAGTACAGTGTCACCATGGTGACACTGTACTGCTAGGGTGACAGTATGTAAAAAAAAAAAAAAAAAATAATAATAATATAAAAAAATAAAATAAAAATGTAAAAAAACATGTTTAAAAATTATAATTTTTGCTTATAAACTAATTTGGATTTTTTTTTTTTTTACTAAAAAGATAATGGAATACTTTTTGGCTAAGATTTATGATGAAATATTATTTATTTGAAAATTTTATAAAAAAAAACACTTTTTTTCAAAATTTTTGGACATTTCATTTACATAGCAAAAAAAATACAAATCCCAGTGGTGAATAAATACCACCAAAATAAAGCTTTATCTGTCTCAAAAAAATGGTAAAAAATTCATTTGGGTACAGTGTTGCATGACCTCGCAATTGTCATTCAAAGTGTGATAGCGCTAAAAGCTGAAAATTGCCCTGGTCAGGAAGGGGGTAAAAAGTGTCCGGTCTGGAAGTGGTTAAAACAATTTTATTTTTACTAGTAATGGCTGTGATCAGCGACTTCTAGTGGGACTGCTTTTTTTTTTTTTTTACATTTTTTCAGTTACTTCCTGGTTTCCATTCATAAGCAAATGATGTCATACATCCCAGGAGTCTTCAGGAGGGGAGGAGGGGGGGCTATTTGATTGCCTCTGCGTTTTTAATTTTTTGCTCTTTAAAAAAAAAAAGACCGACAATTTTGAGAAAAAAAAAAACAATATTTTTGACTTTTTGCTATATAACATATCCAGTAAAAAAAATAAAAAAATCAAATTTCATCATAAATTTAGGCCAAGATGTATTCTGCTCCATGTCTTTGCTAAAAAAATCCCAATACGTGTACATTAATTGGTTTGCGTGAACATTATAGCATTTACAAATGGCTGTATATATACTGGGATTTTTTTTTTTTAATTTATTTTTACTAGTAATTGCGGCGATCAGCGACTTCTAGCAGGACTGCTTTTTTTTTTTTTTTTTTTTTTTTTTTTTTTTTTACATTTCAGTTACTTTCTGGTTTACATGCTGTCAATGATGTCATACATCCCAGGAGCCTTCAGGAGGGTTGGAGGGGCTTTCGCAGCTAAGGCAGATAGATTGCAGATTCCAGGAAGTAATTTCATCCGCCCTTACTTAAGATGGTCGCAGCCTGAAATGTTAGAATAAACCTCCATGTGATAGCACTGGGCAGCTAACAGTAGGGGTCTAATAGACCCCAGTGTCTCCCTTCACACCATCAAACCGAGCAAAGATTGATTTGGCTAGATGTGTCCCCTGATTGTACTGGCCAGGAAATGGTGTATCTGAAACTGGAAGTGACGACATCATCGTCGATTCTGCTTTCTTTGTTTATATGTGATATTAAGGCATGGATTTGCCTCACTCTCACACTGCTCCCCATCCTGAAGCTGGCGGTTGTGGTCCTGGGCCCCCCAGACCAATTAACAGCTCACATACTACGTCCAAAGAGATGAACTAGTTAAGCAGGCCTTAGCTGACCTAAAACCTAACCTTTTTTGACCAAAAAAAAAAAATTTTAATTCACACACTTCAAGAGTTAATTGACTGGGCAGTGCCTGGCAAGTTTCCTGATACACACAGTAAACCCTGAAGAAGGGGAACCTCAAACCACCGAAACGCGTTGGAAAATTTATGTATAATTAGGCAAATAATAAGAGACAGTTGGAACTTTAAAAATAGGCACACAAATGTTTTTTTCAAAAGTGCCCGTTAGGTCATTTTGACCAGTCCTATTTTATGCTGTTTCCTCCAGACGGACAATATCAGGGGTGTGACACCCAGAAAAGTCCAAACATGTCTGCAGATAGTAGAAGAGAAGTTGATGACATCACACAACCTGGAGAAAACTACATAACCTCAGATTTCCATCCATTGTTTCACAGCGCAAATCTGTCTTCTGACCCACCAATGTATGGCGGACTGTTTCCTGAACACCCATCTCCAGTCATCCCTCATAGTAGAGTGCTGTGCATGGTGGGGAAGCCATATTCATGTCTGGAATGCGGGAAGCGCTTTGAACGGGAATCATCTCTTGTCCTCCACCAGAAAGGCCACATCAATGACCTCAAGCCGTATTCTTGTACGGAATGCGGGAAAGGATTTGCCCACAAGTCCTATCTGGATACCCATCTGAGAGTCCATACTGGAGTGAGACCCCATTCATGTTCAGAATGTGGGAAGAGTTTTGTGTACAAGTCGGAGCTCAACAAGCATCAAAGAACTCACACGGGTGAGAAGCCGTACACGTGCTCCGTGTGTGGGAAGTCCTACGGGTGGAAATCAGTGCTCATCAAGCACATGCGGATCCACACGGGGGAGAAGCCGTATTCGTGTTCAGAGTGTGGGAAGAGCTTCACGCAGAAAGTCATCCTTGTGGAGCATCAAAGGACTCACACAGGAGAGAAGCCGTTTTCGTGTGCAGAGTGTGGGAAAAGCTTCACATGGAGGAAAGCCTTTGTCAGTCACCAGAAGATGCATATACAAGAGAAGCCTGAACTTTCTCAGCATGGAAGTCCAGTGGCATAGGGACAAGAGCTGACCCTGTGACTGGACCCCTTGCTCATTATTTATTTTCTGTATTTATATAAGGACCTTCCTGTTCCACAGTTCGAACCATTCAGGATATTTTTCATTTTGTTTTTCCTTCACTTGGTCTCATGATCAACGTGTCTAAAGGAAGAACCCTTCTTGTTGCCTCAACCACTCATATTATTGTCATTTTTTTTTTTATCTAGGGGAGGTTTTAACTTGAAGCATGTGGTCTCTACACCCAGAAGCTTGTAGTAGATAACACTGTCAGTGTACTCCTACTTGACCACGTTACCCAACCTCCTGAATTACAGCAGACGGTGGTTGCAAGAAGGGTTCCAGAAGAAGATTAGCTGGGGGTTGGTTGCTATGTGTTTGAAGAGTGTTTGGGCCCATGAGTCCTTCAAAGAGTAGGGCAGGTTAAAGTGCGTGATCTGGTGCAGCTTGCAACGTTGTTCTCCACCAGATTCTGAATATTAAGGTTGTAGAAATTTGAAACTTGCTAGCCAACACGCTTAAGAACTTGAAGCTAAAGGGTCACGTTTCCAAACCTTTTTTGAAGTCCTCAAAGAAAGCACATGTCTTCTGCCAAATGAACAAGCAGCTCTTGGCAGCAAGTTAAAGCAGTATATGTGAAAAATTTCAACTTCACTGTGGTAGTAAATGAGACTATATCCTCCTTTCTCTTCTTAGTGTGACGGCATTACCTGGCCTCCTGAACAGTGCCGGGACAAGGTCATCTAGTACACAGGGTGAAGATGCCAAACGGTGCCCCCCCCCCAAAAAAAATAAAAAATGTATGAGCATTATGTGTCAGCAAAAATCCCCTCCTCCCCCCCAAAAAAATTTTTGAGCACTAATCTCCACACTTATCCCCTTAGCAAAAATTTGTCTTGCAAGCCAAAATTTTCCACACACAAAAATTCCCCCTCTTCCAGTACTAATCTCCCCTCCCAGCTCAAATCCTATTCCTCCCCAAATTCCCACCCACCTAGCACAAATCTTCTACATCTCAAATGTCCCCTCTGAGCATAAATCACCCTTCCAATTCTCCCTCTTCCAACACTAATCCTTCCCCCAAATCCCCATTCCTAGCACTAATCATCCCCCCAAATTTCCCCTCTTAGTACAAATCCTCTAACCCTCAAATTTCCCCTCTGAGCATAAACCCCTCTATTTACTTCTAAACTTCTAGAACGCTTAGTCTACAATCGCCTGAGCTCCCCCCTCACTGACAACAACTTTCTTGACCCTCTACAGTCTGGCTTTCGCTTACTACACTCCACTGAAACTGCCCTACTAAAACTCACTAATGATCTACTAACTGCTAAAACCAATGGCCACTACTTCATACTCTTACTTCTTGACCTTTCTGCGGCTTTTGATATGGTTGACCATCCCCTCCTCCTCAAAAAACTCCACTCTCTTGGCCTCAAAGACTCTGCTTTCTCCTGGTTCTCCTCCTACCTATCGCAGCGCTCCTTCAGCGTTACCTATAATGCTGCCTCCTCCTCTTCACTCCCTCTTTCTGTAGGGGTTCCTCAAGGTTCTGTCCTTGGACCCCTTCTCTTCTCCATCTACACCTCCTCCCTGGGTTACTTGATAAACTCCAATGGCTTTAAGTACTATCTCTATGCTGATGACACACAAATCTATCTTTCTACTCCTCACCTCACCCCTTCAGTCTCCTCTCGCACCACTAACCTACTAAGTGACATATCGGCATGGATGTCACTCCACTTCCTCAAACTCAGTTTTTCCAAAACTGAGCTCTTAGTATTCCCCCCAGCCCGTGCCCCCTCCCCTGACTTCTCCATCAAGATCAATAACACAATCATCAGTCCCTCCCCTCATGCCAGAGTACTAGGTGTAATCCTAGACTCCCATCTGTCCTTTCACCCCCAAATCCAATCGCTGTCCAAATCTTGTAGACTTCACCTCCGCAACATCTCCAAGATACGCTCGTTCCTAACCTCGGAAACCACTAAGCAACTTATTCACTCCCTTGTTATATCTCTTCTTGACTATTGTAACTCCTCATTGGCCTACCGAATCGCAGGTTATCCCCTCTTCAGTCTATCATGAATGCTGCTGTCAGAATCATCCACCTTACTAACTGTTCTGTATCTGCCATCCCTCTCTGCCAATCCCTCCACTGACCTCCACTCAGTGTCCTCCACCCCTCTGCCAATCCCTCCACTGGCTTCCCATTGCCCAACGGATAAAATTCAAAACACTAACAATAATGTACAAAGCCATTTATAACTCTGCCCCAAGTTACATCACCGGTCTTGGCTCTAAATATCACCCAAACCGTATTATCCCCTCCTTGCAAGACCTCCTACTCTCTAGCTCCCTTGTCTCCTCATCCTATGCTTGTCTCCAGGACTTCTCTAGAGCTTCCCCGCATCCTCTGGAACTCTTTACCCCAATTTATCAGGCTATCGCCTACTCTGCTCACTTTTAGGCAATCTCTGAAAACCTATCTCTTCAGGGAAGCCTATCTTGCCCTCAGCTAATACTGGAATCTTCTACTCTTCCAACCAGTCCATCCCCCACAGTTATTACCTTTTGTACCACTAGCCCCTCCCTCCTAGATTGTAAGCTCCAAGGAGCAGGGCCCTCCTAACCCTCTTGTATTGAACTGTATTGTTGCTGTATTGTCTCCTGTTATATTGTAAAGCGCTGAGCAAACTATTGGCGCTATATAAATCCTGTATAATAATAATATAATAATAAATCCTACCCTCCTCCAAATCCCCCTTTCCCAGCACTAATTGTCCCACAAATCCCCTTTCCTAGCACTAATCTTCTCCCCCAAATTTCCCCTCCTAGTACAAATCCTCTACCCCTCAAATTTCCCCTATAGGTATAAATCCCCCCTCCAAATCTCCCACTCCTAGCACTAATCATCCCCCAAATTTCCCCTCCTAGTACAAATCCTCTATTTCTCAAATTTCCCTTCTGGGCATAAATCCCACCCACCTCCAAATTCCCCTCTCCCAGCATTAATTGTCCCCCAAAATCCCCTTTCCTAGCACTAATCATCCCCCTAAATATCCCCTCCTAGTACAAATCCTCTACCCCTCAAATTTCTCCTCTGGGCATAAATCCCACCCACCTCCAAATCCCTGTCTCCCAGCACTAATTGTTCCCCAAATCCCCTTTCCTAGCACTAATATTCTCCCACAAATTTCCCCTCCTAGTACAAATCCTCTACCCCTCATATTTCCCCTATGGGCATAAATCCGCCTTCCAAATCTCCTTCTCCCAGCTCTAATCCTTCCCCCAAATCCCCTTTCCTAGCACTAATCATCCCTCCAAATTTCCCCTCTTAGTACAATTCCTCTACCACTCAAATTTCCTCTCTGGGCATAAATCCCCCCCTACCTCCAAATCCCCCTTTCCCAGCACTAATTGTCCCCCAAATCCCCTTTCCTAGCACTAATCTCCCCAAAATTTCCCCTCCTAGTACAAATCCTCTACCCCTCAAATTTTCCCTCTGAGCACCCTCACCCACCTCCAAATCCTCCTCTCAGCACTAATTCTCCCCCCAAATATCCTCTCCTAGTACAAATCCCCCCAATCGTCCCTAATAGTTCAAATCCACCCTCCCTCCCCAATTGCCCTTCCTAACACAACCCCCTGAAATTCCCACTGCACCCATGGCAGCCACCCCTTGTCCCAGCCCTGCTCCTGAATGATAGCAGAGGCTGGTGGAAGGGGCCTGGAAAGGTGTAGGGGGGTATTGAATGTTTTGGGCTTAAAGAGTACCTAGGGTCTTGGGTCCTTCAGAGAGGAGACCAGGGTTGAAAGTTTGTTATCTGGGATGCCAGAAGATACCAATTGATTACTTCCGGTGCATACTCCCATGCTACGTAGGCTTCCTTTTTGATTAGGTAGGGTCCATCAGGGTTCCAAGGAGTCTAAAAATGCAAAGTCCACTTCATACCTATCCATCATGGGTCGCTATTGCCAAGCTTCTCTTGGGAATGCTAGGTGACTGACTCCAGAGACAGATGGACAGCATTTCCAGAAGAAGACAGTAATCACAACCTCTATATTTGTTTCATGACAGGTTTTTTAAAATATTACTCAACCTTTATCTTTGCAACGAATGTTGGGTCCAGCATAAATTGGTTGTAAAGGGAATCCATAGCTTTTTATACAATAAAAAGAGTTCTTCATTGTGATCAGTTTTATGTAAATGTTATCACCAGGATGTATATTTAAAAAAAAAACATGATTTTGTATTTCCTGATTACTTACACTCACTGGCCACTTTATGAGGTTCACCTTGCTAGTACCGGGTTGGACCTCCTTTTGTCTTCAGAACGGCCTTCATTCTTCATGGCATAGATTCAACAAGGTATAGAAACATTCCTCAGAGATTTTGGTCCATATTGACATGATGGCATCACGCTGTTGCTGTGGATCTGTTGGTTTCATATCCATGAACCATTTTTTTCTTAAATATTAGTCAACCTTTATCTTTGCAACGAATGTTGGGTCCACCATGAACTGGTTGTAAAGGGAATCCATAGCTTTTCATACAATAAAAAATAATTCTTCATTGTGATCCGTTTTATGTAAATATTATCACCAGGATGTACAGTTGTGTTCAAAATAATAGCAGTCAGACATCACTAACCTGATCAATCACTGTTTTTGGTAGAAATTATATTTCTACATGGCAAATAATTTACTAGCAGGTGTAGTAGAGTAATAGAATGCTGCTGATTCTGTGTAATTGAATCACTAATTGAAAGGGGCATGTTCAAAATAATAGCAGTGTAGAGTTCTATTAGTGAGGTAATTCATTCTTTGAAAAACAGGTGGCAATTATTGCCCTTATTTAAGGCAGGAAGGCAGCAAATGTTGTACATGCTGGTTACAGTGCATTTCTCTCTGAAATTCTGAGGAAAATGGGTCGTTTCATACATTGTTCAGAAGAACAGCGTACCTTGATTAAAAAGTTGATTGGAGAGGGGAAAACA